ATAATAATAATAATAATAATAATAATAATAATAATAATAATAATAATTCTACTATCTCAAGGGTTCTGTTCCCAGCTCACGTAAGTTTTCTGGACTGTTCTAGAGTGAACATGTGATTCATTCTGCCTGTGAATGAATGTGCAGGTGGCCATAGTGGAGGGTGGAGAAGTCAGGCCAAAGGACAAAGTGTAGCAGGGAATGCCAACTTAGGGAGAGTATTCATGGAGATTTGTTTCCAGTGGATCAGTATCTTGTGTTCCCATCTTCATCCCCAAGACTATACCTTTTTATTAAATTTATTTTCACTTTACTCACGTGTTTTGCCTACATGTACGTGAAGTACACTTCAATAGAACGTGTCAAATCCGATAGAACTGAAGTCACACAAGTTTAAGCTGCCACGTGGGTGCTGGAAACTAAACTTGGGTCTTCTACCAGAGCAGCCAGGGCTCTTAACCACTGAGCCATCCCTACAGCCAGCCCCAAGAATATATCTTTGACCTTCATACCCACACAGCAGAGTCCATAAAAGAAGGAGGAAAGGAAGAAGGAAGGGAAGCTGGGAGTATGGTTCAACTGTGTGTGGCAGCACAGGAGATGTCGTGGCTATTTTCTGAGACAGAAGAACAAGTTCAAGGATTGCTAGAAGCCACGTTGATTGGCTCATGGCTTTAGAGTAAGTTGGTAGGTGGGTTAAAAAAAATTACTCAGTTCTCCCACTTATAGGAGAGACAAAAGTGTTAGCCCAAGACCACGGATGTTCTCTGCAGTCTTGTTTAAAGTATCAACACAGAGTAACAGTGCAGAGGCTTACCCACAAAGAAACTGGGAATAGGAACCATGAAATTAATCCCACACTCTGCAATGTGCTGCAGCTCTCAGGAAAAGATGAGGCTGGGCTGGCAAGATGGCTCAGTGGGTAAAGGCACTTGCCACACAAGCCTGGTGACTTCAGGTTGGTCCCCAGAAGCCACGTAAAAGAGGAAGGAAAAGAACCAACTCCCAAAAGTTGCCTTCTGACCTCCAGTTTTAAGGGCTGGTGTGATGACTCGGCTGTCGAGAGCAGAGACCCCCAGTTTAGTTCCCATCCAGCACCCACATCAGACAGTACACAACCACCTATAACTGCAGTCCCAGGGGACCAGATATCCTCTTCTGCCTCCTCAGGTATCTGATGCACACAGCGCGTATGCACGCAGGCACACATGCACATAAAATATTTTTTTAAAGGAAAATCAAACCTGGGCTGACATGGAAAGATATACACAGGGGGGGAAAAAAAGAAATGAATTCCTGAAAAATGAATGGCTGAGCCACGTGTGTAGTATGATTCAATTTTGTACGCATATATGTCCATTAGGGCACAGACCAAGGTTTGGAGGGGTTCTCACCGCTTAGTTAACAGCATATACCTCTAGAAATATGAGTGATGACGGGTGTGGAGGGAGCTTTCGCTTTCAATTTAACATTCTTCTGGGGGCTAAAACTCTTGCATTCAGTCTGTACAATCGATACCATTGTGTGATTGTGTGGGTGGCTTTTTTTTTTTTTTTTTTTTTTTTTTTTGACAGCTCTGGGAATAAGGGAAGGAGGAGCTCAGTGGAGAAAGAGGCAGGGCCCTGGCCAGAGTCCTGATTTGCTCTGTATACTCAGGCCAGCTGCCTCCCTTCTCTGGGCCAGGGCCAGACATGTGCTGGTGTGTCTATTGGGAAAGGCAGTGAGTTGAGGCTGTGCACAGCTCTAGAGAGCGTGGGAGCAATAATTTTTAAAGCACCAGGCTTGAATATTGAGTTGTTGGCATTTTTAACAAAGAACCTCCATGAAGGGATGTGGGAGGAGCTCAGGTGGAGTGCTTGCTTGGTAGATGCAGGGTGCTGTCTTTGATCCCCAACACCACTGAAGTTCTGGGCATGGTGGTACCAGCCCATAGTCCTAGCACTTGAGAGGTGGAGCAGGTGAATCAGAAGTTCAAAATTGGTCTGGGTTATATAGGGAGTTTCAGGCCAGTCTGGAATTCGAGAAACACTGTTTTAAGCAGAGTAAAAGTCAAACTCTAAGGTGCCTACTGCAGAGAGGTCACTTGGAAGACCTTGTCCCTCCTGTCCAGTTGCCTGACCCTGCCCCCTCCCTGAGTCAGAATGCTTGGCCTGGCAGCTTCAGATCATTCACCAAAAAAAAAAGCCTTTGGTTCACATGAGGTAGGATCAGCTGAGCCCTGGTTTCCAAGATTCAGAGCAGGATACAGTCTTTGTCCCATCATCATTCTTCCTCTAAAACGATGCCAGGTCAGGTGACCCTGGGTGGTCGGGCACTAGCTCCGTACAAGTGTCCTAGCGAGGCAGCAGGACACAGCAGGAACAAGCTTCCCAGCCCTGAAAGTTATGGAGAAAGGGCTGGATGCAGAGGGAGGCATCAGGGAAACGGTGCGAGAGAGTTGGGTGAAATAGGTCTTTTTATTGTCCGTTCTCTATGTTCCAGGAGAAGGAGAGAGTGATTCTGATGATGGCGTCTGGGTGGACTAGCCTAACTTTCAGCTGGACCGTGGAAAGAAGGTGATTTCAAGAATGAAAGTGACAGTGTCAGGAGGGATTTGGGAGAACCTCCATCGAGGCACAGGAATTCACGTGAGGCTCTGGGACCCGAAGTCATTTGCCCAAGGTCATAGGAGCGTAAGTTGGAGGTAGCTTTTTAACAGTCCAGAGGGCTCCTGGGGCACAGCTGTCCAAAAGCCAGTGGCGCAGCAACCGTGGTGATTCATACCAGCAGTTAATTAGTAACCGCAAGGTCCTGAAGCTGGCTCCCACCTGGCAGGGCCTCCAGGCTGAACCTGCGCTGGTTTGAGAGTCAGGCGAGTGTGTGACAGGTCACACCTGCCTGGAAAGATTGTAGGGTGAGTCAGGATTGGGTTTCAGGTCAGAAGGACCCTGCGGAGGAAGAGAGCATAATTCTCCAGGACCTGCGCTGGGACCTAGGGTTTCCAGGTGAGGACTCCCTCCCCCTTCTTCTCCCCTCCTCCCGTGAGCAGGGAACCTGCCTTACCCCCAGCTTAAAGCAGCGTTTGCTATATTCCAACGGACCACCTAGGCTGATTCCTCCCCAGCTACCCACTTTGTTTTTATTTCATGCCCGTCTTCCCCTTTCCCTCCCTAACTTCATCTCTCAGTCTCCTCTATCCGCTTTCTCTTACTCCTTAACTCCTTTCCCCTTTCTCCTTTCTTCCTATCCAACTGACTCCTTAATTAATTTCTTTTTTCTTAATGAACCAGCTCACACATTCACTTCATCCCCACTTTCGTTCTTTCCACTTCTAACTATCTGTTCTCTTCCAGAGATTCTAGGTTGTGAGTTTTAGGGCTGGATTTGCCTGGGTTCAAATCTTATTTATGTCATTTATTAACATGGTATGTTACTCATGTCATTTCTCTCCACCATGCCTCTGTTTCCTCCTCATTTAAACAGGGATGATAGGGCTGAGAGTGTAGCTCAGAGGCAGAGCACTTGGTTAGCAGTTAACACACATACACACACACACACACACACACACACACACGCGCACACAAAGCATGAATAATGATAGTTCTTATCCTATGGGGTTTATAGGAACAAAAGAAGCTCAAGCTAGCCCTCAAGCTAAGAAGGCACATAAATGACACATTCCAATGGAGTGAAGCCAGATATGATGACAGAAGCAGATACAAGGAGGGAATATTGGACAAAGTTTTTAGAGTTTTCGAATGAGGACCTGTGAAAGGGTTAAGCAAGCAAGCCACGTTGGTGGCAGAATGTCCTCAAGAGAGAGAACTGTACGTTGTTCCTATCTTGGCCCATCACACAAGTCTAGGGAGATGGAAGCAGGCCCACCAGAGATGGGCCAGATAAGGGCAAGTCTAAGCAGCAAAAAGTGATGGGAGGGATGAGAGAAGGGCTGGTGAGATGGCTCACTGGGTAAAGACACTTGGCACCAAGCCTGATGACCGAGCTGGATCTCGGGGACCCTCATGGTGGGAGAAGGGAATTAACTCCTGCAAGTTGTCCTCCAACACACACACACACACACACACACACACACACACACACACACACCAAACAGCCAATAAATATAACAATAAAAATAAAATAATCAGGAGAAGATACTGATACCAAGTTGGGCCAGGTTGTATCACAAGGCAATACTATAGAGAAAAGGAACTTCAGGGGTGGGGTAATATCTTAGTCAAGATGACAGGGAGAGTGGGCAGTGAACGGGTTTGAAGGGCTGATGAGGCATGGTACAACAAAAACAAATAATGTAGGGCTGGAGGGACGGTTCAGTGGTTAAGAGCACTGTCTGCTCCTCCAGGGGTTCTGAGTTCAATTCTCGACAACCATATGGTAGCTCACACATCATCTATAATGTGATCTGGTGCCCTCTTCTGGAGTGCAGTAGTACATGCAGATAGAGCACTCATACACATAAAATAAATAAATAAATCTTTGGAAAAAATAAATAGAAACAAATAACCTGACCTAATAATGGTGGTCATGACTTCCTGCCTTTCATTGTAGCTATCCATTGTCTTTTTTTTCCACTTTAATAAAACTATTACCCCAATGCACCCACCATTCTGAAATTTGCTTTCTCCTTGATAATTATATTAGACATGTACCCCCATTTTGATCCATGTAGGCTTATAGAGACAGAGGTTTGGGTTATGTAATTTTTTGTTTTGTACGTATACCATAGTCGATCGTTCCATTCCTTGACTTCATTAGTCAAATGTGTCATGAAAACCTCCTATATTTCAGGCCTGTCCCAAATGTAGAGGATTCAGTATTGAGCAAGAAAAGTCTGCCTTTCATGAGCTGATGTTCTAGTGTGAGATGGTAAAGCAGAACACTTGACTAGTGGCATGGTAAGAGGGCAGGAGTGATATGTGAACAAAGTTGTATGCAAAGCCTCCAGAAGAGAGGGCGGGGAAGGAGGGAGCAGTCATCGGCTTTGCTCAGGACTGCAGAGTCTCTGCACTGAAAGCCCTAAACCCCAGATAGAGCAAGACAACCTGTCACCTGATGTCAGTCAGCACAGGGGCCTAGAGGGGCCACTGAGGCAGAGGCCTCTGCCACATTATTGGAAGTCAGTCATGTGCGTTCTAGACAGAGGACATAAGCCCGAGGCATAAGCCACTGATCTGGTTATGGACATAGGAAATAAGTGAAGATGGAGACCCAAGGGCTGAGCCAGGGTGGAAGGAGAAGAGATTCCAGTGAGAAGACTGAATCAGAAGGAACCCTGGGACCTCTCAAAGCTGCATGGGTAAAGGAAGAGTGCCAGGGAGGGTGCCAAAGCCTCAGCTGGCTGAGCGAGGTGAGGATGCCGGTGTCATTATGACACTGGAGTGGACAGCTGTCCACTGTCCACTGATCCCTTAGGATCCTGGGAAGAAACCTGAGATGGGCCCAGGAGTGGAAGCGAAAAAGGATGGAGATAAGGAGTGCAGACAGCCCTTTAGGGGAGTTTGATGAAGAGAGAGAGGGAGAAATGGGCAGTCTAAGCCAGGATGCAAGGTGAGGAGCAGAGCCAGCTTGGCTTGAGGTGTCCCTAAGCGCCGGGCGGGAATACTTAGACTGTCGATTAGTTGCTGTTCTTTTGTACTTCTGAGGTCTCACTGCCCAGCGAAAAGAAATGTCCTTGGAAGGACATGTGTTTTGTCAACACTTCACCCTGCAGACTTGTGTACTGGTTCAACATTTCTATTTTGTGGGGAAATGAAAGACTTTGGTTTCGTGTATTGCAGCATTCGTAGGTCAACACCTCTAGGTGCCTTGAATTTTAGAGTCTGTGAGAACGCCTGACCCCTCTCCTCAATTTCTCTATCTCTCCTCTGCTCCTTCTCCTCCTTTTATCTTTCTTCTCTCTGCATGTGCTTTTCTCTGTCATGGCAACTGCTTCCAGTAAACCTGCATTTATTTTTTAAAAATAAAAATGCTTGACCCACCTACTCTGCACCTAAAGCTCCAGGAAGAGAGTTGCTGGGTTGATTCTACCAATTTCTTCTTTCCTCAGAACTCCTATCTAGCCACACCTAACAGCAAGGCCTTCCTGAGATGGAAGCTCCTGAGCTGGGAGCCCTCACACAGCAAAAGAGCTGTGAGCCAGTCAGGCCTCCTTTAGGTTGAGGGCCAGAGCTCTTGAAGAGCCAGTGGGGAAGATCCAGGTAGCCAAGTGCTCAGTAATCCAAGACCAAAGCCAGCTGGACAGAGAGCCAGCTCCAGCTTCCCTGAAGCACTTGCAAGGTTTTGGCAGGTGGACTGTTCTCTGTGGCCATAGCTCAGGTCCCTAGACTTCTCCTTTAGACCTATAGGTTTACATGGTACCAGGATAAACTCCTGGTTCTAACAGATAGGCCCTCTACATATGAATGCACACACACACACACACACACACACACACACACACACACACACACACACAGGTAGGGAGAGAGGGAGATTATTCAACACACATCAATATGGACATACAGTGATAGACCTATACATACATATGGTTACATAGTCACATGCACATATTATTACACACATTCTCATCTGAAGACACACACATAGACACTCATGCAGACTCACACACAAACATAGTAATACGTTGTTTAAAAGGAAAAAAAAATCTCAACTGTTTCATTTTACCAATAAAGACTCAGGAGCCAGATGCAGGGGTGAAAACCTGCGAGCTCAGAGAGGCAGAGAATGTAACCAGCTGACCTTCCTTCTCAGCTCAGGTCTGGGTGGAAAAAAACCAAAAGGCTCACTAGCTCAGCTGACAGCCCAGGAGAAAAGGTGAAAAACAAAAAACCAACCAAACAAACAAACAAACAAAGCAAGGCCAAAGGCTTACTAGCTCAAAGCCCCAAAAGCCAGGAAGCTAAGGAGCTGAAGACTAAGCTAAAGCCAGAGCTTGAACTAATAGCCCTTTCTTCTCCACATTGACTTAAATACCCCTCAACTCAAAATCCCTCCTACTCTTTAATCCCTGTCGGCTGGTTTCTTGCTCTGTCTCTTGACCTAGGGTTAACTATTAAATCCTGTGTACAGAAAACTCTTGTATTAAAGGTGTGTGCTAGGGCTGGGTGAACCACAGCATAATCACAGGTTTACAATAAATATAACGTTCTTGGATTAATGTGTGTGTAGGGCTCAACCGCACCAAAGAAATAGGGTTTTACAGTTCACAATTTTTGGGTTCACAATGGGATCAAACATCCTGCAACAGTGTATATATATTGGCCCATATATATATATATTCACACTGGCACATACTGTACAGTGACATCCTAAATGTCTGGGGAAATTACATCCACTACACACAGCAAAACGATGATGAACTCAGCACATATGTACACATGCTGTCATGCCCACACATGTACACATTCTTACACACACACACACACACACACACACACACACACATACTCTCTCTCTCTCTCTCTCTCTCTCTCTCTCTCTCTCTCTGACACAAATACTTGAAATACAGGGCCACACTGACAAACCAGAGACACGACAAAGCACATCTCTGCAGGAAATACTTGCAGAGAGCACATGCCCTGACTCACACATTCTTTCAGTCCCCAGTGGTCCCCAGGTTCTTCTAGGAAAGCTGTATAATCCCTCATCTCCTGGGGAGAAACGGCGGCGTCCCTGAGGAAACAGAGGTCTCCCCCTCCCACCCTAAGCGCTACTGCTGGATCCTTCGTGACATCACCAGCCCCGTCACTGCTGCCACTGCTGGAAGTTCTGAGCTCTGTGCTGGGGGCACCAGGCACTGACACTTGCCTCTTGTTGGGAGAACAGAGGGAGCCTCTCTTGTCCACGGCCTGTGCTCCGCTCCAACTGCTGCGTCTCCCGGAGGCCTCCACCCAGGCCGCATAGGTATGTGGGACCCGGGCAGCCAGGGCCAGGCACGGGACCCGTTGGCAGACAACCTGTGGAGGGGTGCTGGTGTCCTAGGCTAGCTATGGGAACACAGCCTGGTGTGCGTCAGAGAGACCAGGACTCCCTCCCTCTGCTGAAATTAATTCTGCAGCCTGCTGTGCAGGGGTTTGACAGTGCTGGGCCTCCAGAGCAGCCTGGCTGGGGAACGCCCTTCCTTCCCTTGCAGCGACTTTCTCTGCTGGGTGGCCTCTGACCTGATGGGAGTTCCTGGCCACAGGTGAATAGGTTTCAGGGTCCCACCCAGTAACAGAGCAGTGCCTCTAAGACCTTTCCTGGAAAGAGGGTAATCCAAGAGATGCCAGGCTATGTAGCCCAGGCCCCAGAGCAACCAAAACTAGGGTCTTTGGCTGAACAGTTTGCACCCCTGTACAGGGCCTGTGAGGCTCCAAGCCCCTGAACCAAATCCTAGACAGTCAGCTTCTTCTACTGTGCTGCTGGCCACAGAGGCCAGCTGCCCACTCCTTCTGCCACCTGAACCTGGGTAGACACTGACTACTTGGGGAATTCCATACTTCTGTTCCAAAGTCCCCAGTGCAGTTGCTGTTACTGGACACTGGAAAGCACCTGGGCAAGAAGAACTGTGTTCAACACAGAGATCAGCCTGGGATTGTCCACAAGAGCTCAGGGTTGCCTACATGCCTGTATGGGAGTCTGGGGAACTCAGTCTACCCACCAAAGATGGGACCCTAGGAAGTCCTTTCTAAATCAAGTGTGGTAGCACATGTCAGCATTCTCATTATTTGGGAGGCTTAAGTAGTGTACAAGGCCAACCTAGGATATAAAAAGCAAGTTCAAGGCCAGCATGGGCTACAGAACAAGACCCTGTCTAAAAAGACAGAGAAACAAAAAAATACATAAAGCCCCTTTAAAGATTTCGGGTACCTCACTGAAAAGTAGAGGGATGTATTCAGCTTCAGGCCTGTAAGGGCCCTTCCTGCTCCAGCAACCTTGGAGTTCTGGAGCTTCTGTGAACACAAGGATCTTCCTGTCCTAAGTGTCCCCAACCTTTGCAAGGACCCCACCAGGCAGGGACCACCACTATCTATCCCTCTCCATCCTCTTAAATTGTTTGCTGAGAAAGGCTGGGCTGACAAATGTCACTTGTCCCATCTGTGCAGGGAATGCTGGCCTTAGGGGTGGGAGCCGCTAAGGCTGTATTAGAAGTTCAAGAGGGCAATCCTGCCAGGAGACCAAGCAACTTAATGCCTGTCCTTCCCTGTGCCCCCAGAGCCTACCTGATCACAGCTACAGGATGGCCTCCAGCCCAGTTGGAGTTTCTAGCCCACAGGTGAGTGGTTCTTGGTCCTCCTCCCAAACACCCAGCACCCCATATGAGGGATTCCCTTTCTCTCAAGGCCAAAGAACTCTATAGAGATCCTTGCCAGCCCCACGAGCTTTCAACCAGAACTTGGATCTTCCTGGTTACTGTGAGCTCACAGAGATGGGCATTAAGAAGGAAAATTGAAGGGAGGTTTGGCCGGGAGCTATAAGAAGAATATTTGGTTAGAAAAAATTATGACATTGGTTTTGAAAATACATAGGTTCAAATCCCACCCTGGCAGCCTGTAAGGCCTTGGATAACTCCTCTCTGGCTTCACTTTTCTTTCTTTACAATTGTCATGATGGCCAGCAGCCTCTCAAGATTGTTAGAGAAGTGTGAGTGTGATGTGAGTGCCTAGATAGAGGAGTGAGGGTGTATGAGGGAAAAAATCCAAAAAAGAAAGGCGGTGGTGGCAGTTGGGGGGGGGGGTTAGCTAGTAGTGACGTTGGCAGAACCAGGACCTAGACTGAAGGAAGAGGAGAGGAACTTGCTGATCTTCATTGTTCTTTTCTTTAAATGTCTTCAGCCATCTAGGGCCAATGGGAACATCAACCTGGGGCCATCAGCCAACCCAAAGTGAGTTCTGGTTTCTAAGACAAAGTTCCTACCTGGCTGTCCCATGACTGGTTTTCTTTGCTTTAGAAATAAAATCTAAGGTCTCTGGTGTGCTCAGAATCTTTGCCAGCTGGTCCCTAGCCCTGTGCCTGCTCAGCTTCATCTCTTATTAACTTCCCTGCTTTGACCCCAGCTGAGCCTTCTGCCTGAAATGACCGAAAACATTTGCACTGTCAACAACTCTCTAGGCCGTTCTCGCACTGGGTGTGGGCGTGAGGGAAGATGGGGCAGCCTGTCTTCTGTGCCATGTACCTGATTTGTCTCTCCTGGTATTAACTGGTCTGTGAGCTGGGTAGGGGTGTAGGTGTAGGGGAAGTGTGTGAGGCTGAGTCTTCTAAGTTTTTTTTTTGAGGGCGGGGGCAGTGAGACATGTTCTTCAGCCTCCTGCAAAGCCACCTGAAATTAACCAGAGACACGGCTTCCTGAGGGTCCAAATGCAAATCTTTGTTTCTCTCTTGTCCACAGTGCCCGACCCACAGACTTTGACTTCCTCAAAGTCATTGGCAAAGGGAACTATGGGAAGGTAAGTTAGGAGAGTGGGAGGCCGGGGTCTTCCCCTTCTGCAGCCTTCCACCTGTTGTCTTTCATTAGCATATGTCAAAAAAAGGGCTCACTGGCCACATAGCTGCAGAATGGGAGTGGGGCTGCCAGGGAAACCCAGTCATCCCTGAAGTCTCGTGTCTGTACTTTTCTTAAGGTCCTACTGGCCAAGCGCAAGTCCGATGGTGCCTTCTACGCAGTGAAGGTGCTGCAGAAGAAGTCCATCTTAAAGAACAAGGAGGTACCAGAGCTCAGGAATGGACACTTCCCCACCTGCTTCTTCATCTCCAGCCTAGGGTGGAGGTGGTGACCAAGATGCTCCCATCTCCAAGAGGTCCAGTGGGGACAGTTCAGAAAACCCAGCTGGCCCACAGGACCCTAACCTCTCTAGAGGAAGGCAGGCCCAGCCATGTCCCTAGCAGCCTTCTGGAGGATGTGCAGACCTGTCGTTAACAGAATCCACTGATGGACCAGCTGTCTTTGCCCTCTATAGGTGTCAGGCTCCCCAAGTGCACACTGTGGGCTCACACCCCATCTCCTTCAAAGGCCCCTTCAGCCTGGCCAGCTTGGACCTCTAGATGCCTCAGTGACTTGAATCCCTTCAATGCTGTTAGGAAGACAGAGGACTGATGTCAAGTCAAACTACTCAGGAGACACTTTCAATTTGTGTGTGTGTGTGTGTGTGTGTGTGTGTGTGTGTGTGTGTGTGTGAGCTTGCAAGGTCACCTGGGTTGTGCCAGACTGTGACATGGACCCCTGTGTGTGTGTGACTCCACAGCAGAGTCACATCATGGCAGAGCGCAACGTGCTGTTGAAGAATGTGCAGCACCCTTTCCTTGTGGGCCTGCGCTACTCCTTCCAGACCCCAGAGAAGCTCTACTTCGTGCTGGACTATGTGAATGGGGGAGAGGTGAGTGGACCACAGGAAGGGGCCTGTCTTCCCAGAAGCCTGCTGTGTACCCCACTGCACCCCTGCAACAGACCCACTTGGTAGCCTAAGAAACTGGGAGGCTCAGCTCAGGAAGCCGCTTCTCAAGACAACCTTGGTCCTTTGACTGAGGGGGGCCCAGTCTACACCAGGCCCCTTTCATGCCTGCTGTTGCACTTTCTTGCCTTTTCCACAGAAGGTGGCGCTGACTCATTTTCCTAGACTCCAGGAAAGGTCACTGACAAGAGAATGATGGTCACTATTTCCGATACTGCCATTTCCTACACCCAGGCCACAGGGCAGGGATAACCCATCACTGTCATTTTTTTAATCTTATTTATTTCCATGTGTGTGTATTGTACATGCATATTTTTATGTGTGGAGCAAACAAGTGGGTGCATATGTGTTCGCACATGGAGGCCAGAGGCTGATGTCAAAAGTCATCTTCAATTTCCCTTCCATCTTTTTCATCAAGCAAACCCAGAGCTAGTCTTGCTAGCCAGTTTGCTCTGATGTGACCCCGTCTCCATCTTCTGAGGCTGGAACTACAGGCAGCCACGCCCACCTGGCACTTGTATCAGTTTCTGGGGATCTAGACTTGGGGCCTCATACTTGCACATTGTGGGCATCCCCAGCAAAAGGCCATTAGGGCTCACAGCCCGGGGCAGCTTCCGTTGACGTGACTACGGAAGCAGTTGGGCTGAGAATATGTGATCTGATGTTGGAGATTCTGCCCAGAGACGAACAACCACTGGCAGGCTCGGAGACGGTGTGGAGGAACCTGACTGGCTGCCCAAAGCTATATAGCATGTTCTTTCTTCCGAGCAATCTCTCTAGCCTGATGTCGTGCTCCTAGGTAGAGACCTGAGCCACCTGCTAACCCGAAAGCGGGCCAGGGACAAGCTAGGCACAATCTTAGGCCTTGCTTTGTCTCACTGAACCACAGGGCAGTGTTTAGTGGGGGTCTCCTCAGTTGCACCAGCTCTCTCACCTGCAGCCAAATGTTTTTCAGTCCGAGTCCAACAGGAGAGGCATTGTCCTGCACAGTCCTAAAAGACGCCTTTGCAGCCAACAAACAGACCAAACAGGGAGATCTAAGCTGAGCTTAATGTGAGATCCTAATGCTTGGATCGGGGAGAAAAAGCACATTTTTTGCTGGGCCTGGTGCCTCACACCTGTAATCCCAACACTTGGGATACAGAGGTAGGAAGATTGTGAATTCAAGGCCAATCTGGGTTACACAGAGTCTGCCCCCGCCCCACCCCACCCCCAACACAAAGTATGTCTTGAACAATCTGTTTTCAAATTCCAGCTCTGCCAACTCTGAACTGTAGGACCTTAGACAAATCATTTAACCACCACCACCCTTCCTCTGACTTGAAACTGGCACCACGGTTGAGATCTTGAAGGTGGTCATGCGGATTAAATAAGAGGAGTGAAAGGGCCTGACCTGCAGCCTGGAAAACAGCGCTGCTTAATGATACTGACTGCAGTCATGGGGAACAGAAGTGCCCTGAGGGGTGGGGTCACCATGCAGTCTTTTGGTTCAAGTTCACTGCGGTTTAGAATAGGGTGAGTGGCCTGCACAGAGTAGGGGGTCTTGAAGGCCCCTCTCTTGTGATCTCAGAGCCTGAATCCAGCCACGGCTTCACTGTCCTCTCTCCTAGCTCTTCTTCCACCTGCAGCGGGAACGCAGGTTCCTGGAGCCCCGGGCCCGGTTCTACACAGCAGAGGTGGCCAGTGCCATTGGCTACCTTCACTCTCTCAACATCATTTACAGGTGAAGCCTGCTCTTGACTCATGGTCGGTCCCAGGGCCTTCTTGCTCCACCAGGCAGGGATTGTTGTGGGCCATGAAGTCCCAGTGACCTTGGTCCTTTGGCTGAGGGGGCTCTTATTTAGATTTGGGGATATGCTCCTTTCTGGAGTCAAGCACCCAGCCTCCCAGGGTTTTCCTTATTTTCCTGTGGGAGCTTCCATGAGGAGTTCTCCTGCTAGGACCAGAGTCCCTAGTTCACTCAGTAAATGGCTGTTTTCTCTTCTTTTCTGCAGAGACCTGAAGCCAGAAAATATTCTCTTGGACTTCCAGGTATGTGAGGGGTGTGTGTGTGTGTGTGTGTGTGTGTGTGTGTGTGTGTGTGTTTACACATGCAGCTCAAATCTGTGCTCTCTAACCATGGTCTGTGTACACTGGTACTTATGCATTACATATGTATACATATGGTAACATTCATTCTTGCGTATGTGTACATATATAATCATGCACAAATATACTTATAGAAGTATGTGCACAGGAGTCTATGCCCATGTGCACATGCCAGGGCAGATACATATACAGACCTGGCACACTGTAGTTTCAAGAGAGGCCTCAGCGAACTTCACAGGATGGGGCCCTAAGCAGGAATTAATTGTTCTTTAGGATGGGGGTAAGTTGAGTCAAGGAGATTTGAGCCTCCACGACCCTCACTGCAGGATGTGGATTGCCCTCTAGAAAGCAGCATACCTTTGGAAAAGAGTGCAGTGTCCGCAGTGAGGATTAGGTCTGGCAGCTCCCAGAGTCTGATACGAGCCCCTCAGGATCTGTCTACCTCGTCCGTCCTCATGCCCAGCTAGCGCTGGTGGACTTGACTTCTCCAGGCCTCCATGAGGAGGATTGCTACCCAGCAGGAACATCCTAAGGCTGCTACGGGTCTGAGTCATGATAGGGAAGACAGCCAAGTGCCTTGTCCCCAGCCTGTGCCCAAAGTCTCCTGGCATCCAGGCCCGAGCCCTGGATCTGCATAAAGCATGTAGCTTGGGTCTCTTCACCGTACTCCACAGCTACTGCTCTAGGGTGTGACATTTGAGCTCTGACCATCAACCCCTTCTTATCGTTTCTCCGCCACAGGGACACGTGGTCCTGACAGATTTCGGCCTTTGCAAGGAGTGTGTAGAGCCTGAGGAGACCACCTGCACCTTCTGCGGCACCCCTGAGGTATGGGGGAGATCTATGGAAAAGCCAGAGTGAGAGTGGCTGAGGCCACAGACACTAAACAAAGCCTCCAGGCTACACAGAGGGGCCTCACTCCATTCCCCCAAACTCTTCCCTGTCAGCCCTGGGCTAAGCACTCATTTCCTCGTGAGTGTCAGGGAAACACCCTTCGGAGGGGTGGGGACCCACAACCTCTGGTCCATTCTGCTGCTGACACCCAGTAGAAATAGGATGTGGGGTTGCATGCCTGTCATCCCAGCACTTGGGATGTGGGGATAGCAAGACCAGGAGTTTGAGGCCAGCCTCAGTTATAGAGTAGGCTCCTGGTCATCAGGGACTTTTGGGTCCAAAGCCAAATATACGAAAACCTTATTTATTTAGGATTTTGAGCTCAGATCCTCAGGCACGCTAGGCAACTACACTTAAAAAGTAAAAAGATGTGCCGGAGAGATGGCTCAGTGGGTAAGAGCACTGGCTACTCTTCCAGAGAACCTAGGTTTGGTTCCTAAAGCATACACATGGCAGCTCACAACTGTCTATAACTTCAGTTCCAAACAATTCAACACCCTCTTCTGGCCTCCATAGACACTGCATGCAAGTGGTGTGAGCAAAAAGCCCATATACACAAAACTGAAATAAATAAATCATACGCACATGTGTATACATGTATGTATGTATGTATGTATGAGGATGGGATGGAGAGATGTCTCAGCAGTTGAAAGCATTTCTTGCTCTTGCAGAGGATCAGGAATCAGGTCCCACCACCCTCATGGCAGCTCAAAGCCATCTCTAACGCCATTTCCAGATGATCTGACATCCTCTTTTGGCTCCTGTGGGCACTACACACATGTGCCACACAGACACACATGTAGGCAAAACACCCATACACATGACATAAAATCAAATAAATCTTTAAGGAAAGCAAAAAAGACAGGAATAGGGGTGCAGCCTGAGGGCAGATCCTTCGTTAGATTCCCAGCATCACGTACACACAAGTTAAAGGAAACAGGTGCCGGGACACGCTGGCACACGCCTTTAATCCCAGCATTTGGAAGGTGAGGCAGGCAGATCTCTGTGAGTTTGAGACCAGCCTGGACTACATAGCAAGTTTTGGGCCAGCCAGGGCTGGCTGCATAGTTAGGTCTTGTCTTGGTGTGTGTGTGTGTGTAGAAATGGGTGGAACTAAATTTAATAATATATTTTATTCCACTCAATAGATCTTAAATACTCTCGTTTTAACACATAATCAGTATAAATTTGTGAAATGGGGCCGTCATGATGGCTTAGCATATAAGGGCACTTTCTGCCAAGCCTAAGAACCTGAGTCTAATGCTCAGAACCCACACAGTAGAAGGACAGAACTGATTTTTCCAAGTTGGTCCTCTGACCTACACACACACACTCACACACACACACACACACACACACACACACAAATTTAAGAAATGCTGAAATAATGAATTTTTCATAGTCTTACAATGTAGCATATGAGTGTAATTTACATGTATAGTCCATCTCAGCTGTGATTGCCTGCATTTCAGCAGACACAAATCTTGATCCTCTGGAAAAACAATTGTTTGATAACCGAATGTGTGTAGTGGCTACCGTATTGGATGGCACTACTCCACAGAGCCAAGTCCTCAACCATGGGAGCCTAGCCTGAGAGGTATGGAAGTATTAAACACAGATCTACTTCCCTGTTCCAAACAGAGATCCTAGGAGGTTAAAATCTGTGGATTTCTGTAATCCCACACTTACCCTCATTGAGAGGACAAGGCAGGGAGATTAAAAGACATTGCCCCAAGATAATATATAGCTCAGTATATAGTATATATAGGTATGTATAATATATATATATATATATATATATATATATATATATATATATATATATATCAGTGGAAGGGTGACTGCCTGGCATGCATGAGTTTAACCACCAGCACCTCAATCAGTCACTCAATCAACCAATCGATTAAATAATTGGTAAATATTGCATGTCTGAGCAGGAATTCACATGTCTCTCTGACTTGCCTTCGGTTTAAAAACCTTTCCTTGAACAGCCAGTAGTCTTGGATGTTGAACCTTGAGCAGGAAGGGCCCCAGTAGCTTGGACAGGCATTAGAAAGGGCAAAGGGTTAAGGCTGCAGTGGAGCTATGCCTCTCTGTTTATCCTGGGACATTAGAGCCTCCCCGTTGGTCTCCCCTAGCCTGCAAAGCTATTCTGGATCTTCAGCTGGGTTCCTCCAGTTGGTACTCAGGGAGCTGATGGTCACGCAACCTCTCCCAGCAGGGACCATTGTCTATGTTTGTGCATGGGGTACCTATTGGATAAAGCCGACCCCCAAAGCCTGACAACAGCTGCTCCTTTTTTGGGTGCAACTAGCATTAAGGAGTGAGGGATATAGAATTGTGGCTCGTGTAGAAGATATTCTTTCTCCTATAAATGCCACTGCTGATGTGTAGGCACACAGACAAGAGTATCTACCTTTGTTCCTGTGTCCGAAGTAGAGACTCCATGCCCCTGGTGTGTGTGTGTGTGTGTGTGTGTGTGTGTGTGTGTCTGTGTCTGTGTCTGTGTATCTGTGCAGTATGGGCACATATTCATGTCGCCATGGACAGATTCATGTGCACATGCATACAGAGGCCAGAGGTTGATTTTAGGTGTCTTCCCTAATCACACTCCATGTTGTTATTGTTGTTTGTTGTTGTGTTGTGACAGTGTCTCATAATGAACCTGGAGTTGATCAGCTTGGCTAGGCTGGCTGGTCCATGATCCAGGGATCTATCTGCCTGTCTCCACCAAACCCTATGCCATCTCGCTGGGGCTGCAAACGTGAGCCATTCCAGCCAGCTTGTATGGGACTGCTGGGGATCTGGACTTAGGTCCTCATGCTCACACACCAGCATCTCTCCAGCCACCATTCTGGTCATGTCTCCATTTAAGAATAAGGAAGCCAAAGTTCTGGCAGATCAAGTGCTCTGCCTGGACCCACCCTCTGAAGATGGCTCAGGGCTGTATGATTCTCTTTCCTCCCGAAGACCCATACAGTCCTTCAGGGTAGCTGTGTCTGATGCTGGGACTCTGTTCCTTAGCAGCAGAGAACCCCAGGCTAAAAGGTCACCAAACCCTTGGGACTGGCAGAAACACAACACAGCCTCAGTTTCTTTCCCTGTACCAAGCATGGCTCCCTGGTGTGTTCCCATCAATATGGCCTGGAATGCACCTTTTTCTCACCCTCTCCCCTGGCATTAAGGTTTCCAGAACAAGAGTGTGCCACATTCTTTTAGCTTTGCCCCTTCGTCACCTCACTGCACTGTGAGGTGCTGCTAGGATTTTCCCAGTCCTGGGACACAGGTAGACAGACCATGTACAAATAAGAAGGCATGCCCTGCTTCTGAACTACGAATCTGGCTTGGGAAGGAGATCACAGACTGTGGCTCCCTTTACCCCTCTAGCTGTTCTCTTGTGATATGTACAATGTGCACAGCTATGCAGGGCACTTTTGCCTGATTTTCTGTCCGTCCCCAGTGCACTGCAAAAAACCCGACATCAACCAGACCTCTAGTGAACGAATACTAATGTTCACAGGAGAACTGTGACAGCCGGGGCAACTCCTGTTGATGTTCTCCTTTAGGTGCCTTGTTTACAGATATAAAAAACTGAGACTAGGAGTCCTCAAATAGCTGTACTTCCTCAACAGTACCTGGCTCCGGAAGTGCTTCGTCACGAGCCTTATGATCGAGCGGTGGACTGGTGGTGCTTAGGGGCAGTGCTCTACGAGATGCTGCATGGCCTGGTGAGTGGACAGAGAGGTCTACAGGACACATGTGGCTTGGGAGAGCTGAGGGTGGCCTCCATTTTATGTAGCTTATTGGAGCTTTGCACGGAAGTTAAGCGAGCTATCTCCCCACCCTGGGAAAGAAAGATGAGGCCAGAGTGAATATGAAGAATGTGTATCTCTCTTAAATAATGCTATTTTAGCAGTTTCCATTTATAACATGCCTTCTCTGCAGAGCGTAGAGTTACTTTTATTGTACCAAGAGGGAAACTGAGGCTAAACAGTCACGGTGCTGATAGATTGGGAGCCTTCCTGGGCTGTATGCTTTAGGTGGAAGCCTGTGTGTACCTTCCTGAGGTTGGCTTTCTTCTGGGCGGGGTTCCCCAGCATAGCAGGGTGCTGCAGAAAGAGTAAGCTCTGAGTGGTCAGAGGGACCAGGGGATGGAGGAGCTGGAGGAAGAGCAAGGAGAGTCCCGCTCTTTTAGAGTCCCGCTCTTTTCTTAGCTAAGTGGTTTGACGGTCTCCAGTCTTGTCTTCTCAAGTGCTAATCTGTAGCCTCTGGCAGAAGATGGTTGTGAGGCCAGGAAGAAATGATGAAGGGGAGAGTAAAATACTCAGTACACAGGTAGTCCCAGGACCTCTGGGAACCTCCTGTGGATGGGCAAAGCCTGTGGCTTTCTCAGCAATCCTCTCTCCTGTGCTGGAAGCCTGGAGGTCCTTTCTCTCCCCATCTGCCCCATGAGCTGTGGCCCTGGACACAGGCCTGGATGAATCGTCCTGGCTATGCAGCTTGCTCTAACGTTCCCTAAGACCCCCTTTTCAACCTCCAGCTTTTTCTCCCTGTCTCCCCAGCCTCCCTTCTTCAACAAAGACGTGGCCCAGATGTACGAGAATATTTTGCACCAGCCACTACAGATTCCTGGAGGCTGGACAATGGCTGCCTGCAACCTCCTGCAAGGCCTTCTCCACAAAGACCAAAGGCAGCGGCTGGGCTCCAAGGAAGACTTTGTAGGTGACCAAGAACTGGGATGGGACTGCTTTCTGCTGCCCTCTAAAACCTGGAGCTGCTACTGCATTTGCTTAGAAATTACCTTTCTTCCAGTTGAACCCTTTCTTTCTGTGTTTTATCTTGTCTGTCTGTCTCATCTCTGTCTCTCTTTTTCTTTTTTTGTTTGTGGTGTGTGTGTGTGTGTGTGTGTGTGTGTGTGTGTGTGTGTGTGTGTG